GTACCCGCACACATTATTAAAAAACTAGGTAGGTGGAAATCAGCAGCTTACGGTAAATACATTCCACAGCCAGAGAAAGAACTGAGGAAAGCTTTTAAAGAATTGCTCATGTGAATGTTACAAACATTAAAGTGTTTTGTTTGAAACCTTTTTGCCCTCATTATTTCAGGCCTACCCGATCGCTGGTTCAGGCACACCACAACCAACTATCAGTCTTCACCTACGACTACACTTACGGCTTTATATCCCCGACTACAAATATATATATATATATATATTTTCATTCTCAAGGGCATACATCAAGAAGATCATACAGTAATTCCCAAATGACAACATATTGACAGGCTTAAATTCAGAGCAGTTTCTGATACAAAAGTCACCCTTTTGAAGCTCACACCAATTCACTAATTAAGATGGCCACTGAAGATACACTGAACAAAATTATAAACACAACACTTTTGTTTTGCACCCATTTTTTATGAGCTGAACTCAAAGATCTAAGACTTTTTCTATGTACACGAAAGGCCTTTCTCTCTCAAATATTGTTCACAAATCTGTATAAATCTGTGTTAGTGAGCACTTAGTGAGCACTTCTCCTTTGCCAAGATAATCCATCCACCTAACAGGTGTGGCATATCAAGATGCTGATTTTTATTCTGGACAGCCTAAGGCACATCTTTGCAATAATCATGCTGTCTGATCAGCATCTTGATATGCCATACCTGTGAGGTGAATGGATTATCTCGGCAAAGGAGAAGTACTCACTAACACAGATTTAGACAGATTTGTGAACAATATTTGAGAGAAATAGGCCTTTTGTGTACATAGAAAAAGTCTTAGATCTTTGAGTTCAACTCATGAAAAATGGGGGCAACATCCCAGGGAGAGAGGTATGGGACAACACCATCAAAGCCCTGAACATCATAGTCCATGCCAGATCGCTGAAGACCCCAGCACTCCTCCTGTCCACAGACGCAAAAAAAGGCTTTCGACAGAGTGGACTGGGACCTCATGTTCGGCACACTCCAGAATCTCGGCGTCGGACCAAACTACCTCTCCTGGGTGAAGGCACTATACACACGCCCAACAGCCCGCATTCGGATCAACGGAGCACTGACAGACCCATTCCAGATCCATAATGGGACCAGGCAGGGCTGCCCGCTATCACCCCTGCTCTTTGCACATACAGGGGATGAAAATAGGACGGACACACCACACAACCCTGGCCTACGCGGACGACCTCCTATTCATAGTCACGACCCCAGAATTAACCTTGCAAGCCATCCAGTCGGAATTCGAAACATATGGCCGAGTTTCAAACCTCCAAATTAACTTCGAAGTCAGAAATCCTAGGTCTCTCCATCAATCACACACTCAGACAGACACTCCAGCGACACTACCCATATCGCTGGTGCGGCCAACACATGCGATACCTGGGAGTCTGGCTTACACCGAACCTGGCAGATCTATATGCCCATAATTACATCCCTATCCTAAAAAAGGCGATCGAAGAACTACGCACATGGAACTCATACTACATCTCCTGGCTAGGCAGGGTGAATGGGATCAAGATGATGCTGCTACCTAAACTCCTCTTCATATTCCAGACAGTGCCGATACTGGCTCCTGAAGTTGGAGGTTCGCAAGTTCGCAAGGGCAGATCCCCGCGCATAGCTCATTCCCAATTGATGCTGCCCAAACTCCGAGGGGGGCTGGCGCTCCCCGATTTCGAAAAATATTACCAGGCAACGCACCTTAATAGGATCCTAAGCTAGTCAGTGTAGGGCAGCATGAAAATATGGACCCAGCTGGAATCAGACACTACGAACTGTGACCTAAGGACCTTGCCATGGATCACGAAAGCCACTGGCTCTGAAACCTTAACTCGGACGACTTCCTACAACACATCACCGAACCATAAGTAGGAACGAGAAGGGAGACGCAAACTGACCCAGAGGGACTCGGAGTGAGGCCCCGGGAGACGGCGAACCTGGAGCAGCGACGGGGGGCGTGAACCCACGACCCACAAGACCTCTCTCCCCAACCCCGACAGACACACTAAATACAGGACGATGACCACGACCGCCTACTACGACCCAGACACACCAATGCACTACCCTAACCGTATTCCAACGGGACCCAGGCATCGAGCTGGGAGAAAACACACCATCCACGGACATTTAACGTGCCATTAATATCGTAACACATAAAACCGAGACCCACGGTCGTCCACATCACCACACATGATCCAATCACCGACCAATTACAAGATTCAATCCAGACAACCCACACAACCACAAAAGAACCGGGTCGGAATAGGACCCAGTAGGGTAACGAACAGCACCCCGCCACTCAGACTGGGAGACGCAGGCGCACAATGTAACCCACCCTCACTGCCCGGACCCCCCACACGACCCGGGAGCAGTCACACGACCAGCACTCAAATTGCTACATCACTACTCGACACACGAGACACAGATCAATACACACCAATGGCACTCAACCCTTAAACAATAGGACCATGCCCACACAGTAATGCCTGACATCATACCGGACAACATCCCCCACAGACACTGAGACATGGGGAAGCAGGGGAAACATACACACGAACAAGCACCAAAAACTACACAGCACTCAATAAAGAAACCCGTAGAGAGGGCCAAGTAACAGGCTAGCCATACAATTAATAATTATTGACAGGGCTATGACCAAAAATGCTATGAGGGAAGACACCAGCAGACCCCAAACCAACCAAACACAACGAACGAAACACCAGGGCACACAGCGCAATAAGTACTCGGATCGCCCTGGCTCACCCTGCCAATGAATAACCTAACGATAACGACACCTCGGACTGCTATATTACACCCAATAGTGGCCCTCAAAAGGGATTAAACCCACGGGACCAAACACCTAATGATAAGGATCCTGGGGATTTATGCACTCAACACCACAGACCTTCCAAACACTACATGCCAATCCACACATGACTATATAAGAGTTAATACGCATACTGAAATAGGCCAATGTTGAAAATAACCGAGTTAATATGCAGGTAGCACACAGAACACTATGACACAGTAAAGCATTGCTAAAAGTTAGTCTCTGCATAGGCGCATTTCCTACTACCTTTGTTACACAAGCAGAGCCTCTGCGTAGGCGATGATGCAGTAAATGTTTGAATATGATGTATGTACGCCTAACTTATGTAAACGTAATAAAAACAATTCAACACAAAAATGGGGGCAAAAACAAAAGTGTTGCGTTTATAATTTTGTTCAGTGCATATAAGTACTTCGATCTTTTACTATGAACATTAAAAGTTAAGTTTAATTTTATACATTTGGAGTCCTGAGAGTGCTATCTTTATGCTAGCTGTACATTTTTTGCTGACAAGCACCAGGCAACAACACCAGTAAGTTGGAGTGAAAATCTATTTTTTCTATATATATATATATATATATAGTTCAAAGAAAGCCAGCACTCAAGGACTTTTATGTTGCAGAAAAATGGAAAACCTTTTAATCCAGTGGGTCAAGAGGTCAACGTTTCAGTCCATCATTGTGGACTTTCATCAGGACATAAAATACAATGTGCAATATTCAACTTAAATAAGGAAAAACTAACTTACCAAATCACCTCCACCTGTGTGCTGGCGGGATCTGCTCCCCATTGCGCATGCGTGTCAATCCGCTCAACTCCTTCCGGTGTGATAGTGCAGCCTATCCGTCACCATGGTGACTGATAAACAGATCGCAAAAACGGCGATCCGTGTATACATACTCCTATATAAAGTGACAAGTGCTGATTACTCAGCTCGATCCTAATGTCGTGCTGTCAAAAAAAACAGTAAATCTACTCAAGATCTACTATATAGATCGAAAACTCAGCATCATGAGTATGTGAATATGTCAGTAAATCAACATTTCTAAAGTGCAATGTGCAAAAATCGACTTAATCTGCTTCTGTATAAGTACACATCACAGTGTATAATTAAAGTGTGTAGTGAGAAAAAAGGGTAAATGTTAATTTACCAAACAATAATGCAAAAAAGTGCAAGTGCTCTGGTGTGCAGAAAAACCGTGCAGTGCTGTGATAATCTCTTAAATTGACATGTGCATATATTTACATGCTGTCTAGCTCTTGAGTGTTACATTATAAGTAAAGACACTATGCTAATATGGGGTAGCAGTGTGACATAATATACAATCACTACCTAAACAATAATAGATATATTATAAAATATAATAATCTGCTACCCAACAGTATCGTTCCCAGGTTTAGGAGTTAGAATCAAAACCCCGTCAAGATATTACTTATGAACTAATTTATCTACAAATATCTTGACAATTGTTAGTAGTCCCACTGGTTTACATTAAAAGGCGATTAGAGCAATGATCCCTCAAGTGGATCTATATACTTATAATAAAGACGCCTGTAGTTTGGTCCATACGGGGTCCACTGGGAGTATATACTGTAGGTATATGTGCAGAAATCAAATAAAATCAATATGGTAACTTATCCAACCACTTAAATAAAAGATATAAATGTCAATTTTTCGTTAAGGCCCAGAGGGGCCATGGTATTCAATTCACGGATCCAGAATGCCTCTCTTTGCAACAATGCAGTAGATCGATCTCCTCCTCGTCTGGATATTGGAATATGATCGATGGCTATACATTTAAGTGATGTCAATGGATGTTTATGTTCAAGAAAATGACGGGCTACTGGTTTATCCGTGATGCCGTCTCTAATCGCCGTGCATATACTCGAACGGTGTCCCCTTATTCTTTCACACAATTGTGTGTCCGTTTTTCCAACATAGTTTAGTCCGCATGGACATGACAGTTTGTAGATGACATGATCTGTTTTACAAGAGATACGATGTTTAATTACATATTTCTTTTGGGTGTGTGGATGAATAAAGGACTTGGTGGGAATGAGATGCCCACATGTCACGCATCCTAGACAGCGAAAGCATCCCGGGTTGAGAAATTTACTCTGATTCTGCAGATAACTCTGTTCCGGATCAGTGCGGACTAACAAGTCTCGCAAATTTTTCTCCCTCTTGTAGCATATCATCGGGTTTTGAGAGAATACTGTGGGCAGAGTTGGATCTCCCGTTAGGATATTCCAATTTCCCCTCACAGCTTGAACAAGTTTAGTACTAGCTGAATTAAACTTCATTGGGAAAGTCAGTCTTGGTGCCTTTGGCTGTTGCTGGATACTCATAGTGTTCGCCATTTCCAATCTTGCTTTATCTAAAGCTGCATCAAGTATGTGCCGATTATATCCCCTCATGAGGAATTTGTTATACATACTGTCCACTTGATTTTCAACCCGTTCAACAAGGGAATTATTCTGAAACACTCTTAAGAATTGGGTATATGGTAGAGATTTCTTACTATGTTCAGGGTGTGCACTCTTAAAATGCAGTATGGTGTTTCTGTCCGTGGGCTTTGAGTAGAGCTGGTACTCAATTCTGCTGTCTTTGATAAAGATCTCCAAATCCAAATATTGTACAGTTGTATCGCTGATATTCGCCGTGATTTTAATGGGACTGGGTAGACTGTTAACGTTCTTCACAAACTGTTCAGTCTCAGCAGCCGAGCCCTTCCAAAGGATCAAAATATCATCGATAAATCGTACATATTGTACGATCTGTTCTGTATATGGATGCAGAATGTGTTCTTTCTCAAATACATGCATGTATGCATTTGCATACATCGGCACCATTGCTGCGCCCATCGATGTTCCTGAACATTGCATATACCACCGAGTTTCGAATCTAAAGTAATTGAGTTGACGAGTGAGCATAAGCAGTTCCATGATGAATTCTATAGGAGGACCCTTATAAAAAGGTTTTATATATATAGGTATATATATATATATATATATATATATATATCATGATTTCAAACTCCTGAAGGAATTTACAATATAACAATTATCAGATTAATTCCGGTGTTTACTATCAAAGGTCTCATAAAATAGCAGATCATTATGTACTTATATTAAGACATCCAACCATGGAACCTCCAGTGGAAATACCCTTTTTTCCCAGCAACATTAACTGGAGCCCAGAAATACTAGGCTGCTACTGTCACATTGTAATAGGTTGTCCGGGTAATATGCCCCTTCTGACTCTGCACAGTAAACCACTCACATTATATTTTACACTTGGACTTTATTAATGAGATTGGCACTAGACAACATTTTCACAACATTCTATCAGAATCAATGCTACTTCTAGCAGGGATATTCCAGTTCATATAATTAAAGACTAGTATGCTGGAAATTCTCTGTTTTACATATATCAACCAGAAAAGAATTAAGGAATGTATTTAGCTAAGAGTTTGGCACGTAAAATGTAATAATTGTGTATTTTGGAATCTTTTTTCCCTATTTATTTACAGGGCTACTTGTACTTTATATCTCGACTTTACTCTATACCTCGACCTTTGTCCCCAATTGTAAATATATATATATATATATATATATATATTTATATATATATATATATAATACTTATATGATACTATAAACATTAGATATAATAATATATATGATATAATGTTTGAAATAAGGCTATTCTTTAATGCACCTATAACACACCACCTAAGGCATATTTTGCAAAGACACCTGATATGGACTGCTCTGGTGGGGTTCTGCTGGTCATAGGGTGCAGGGGAAGGTGAGTTTTACTTATCGGAATCTGTCCCTCGCAGCTGCCACCATGGTCTTCCTAATGGCCCTCTTCAGCTCCAGGTACTTAATCTTCCAGGAGACCACATTAGTGTTTTACTCTTGTGCATACCTGAGAGTACAGCAAAGAGGTCTGTGGAGGATCCAATGAGACTGCCCTTTTCCCCTCAGCTTTAATAGTGACAGATGGGGGAAATGACAAAATATGACATAGGTAACTCTGTCTTTTGTCAAGTTATATCAGTCGTAGAAACAACAGTAAGACAAAGTAGTCCCTACTTTGACTAAGTATATATTTTGACTTCATTGAAATGTCAGTGAAATTCCAACTAGTCAATGTGAATATTTCATGAAGATTTTAGGTTAAGTCAGAGCTGCTTTAACTGCTTCTGTCTAAATAATTTTTAGAACTATTTGATTTTGACACATCCTCATTTAGTGATAGGTTTTTTTCCCAAAAAATTTATTATTGGCATCCTTTTTAAAAAAAATCTTTCATAGGTGTGGGACTAAACTAAGCTTACTAATTTTGGTCATATATATACATATATATATATCTACATGAAGAAAGGCACACGCTGGGCTTTTTGAAGAAAATGATTTGTCTTTATTCATAACACACGGGTTACAGCAAATCAACGTTTGATAAAAGTCCTGTGATGGACTGAAACATCAATTTGCTGTAACCCGTGTGAGCCCAGCGTGTGCCTTTCTTCGTGGAGATTTATGTTGATTTGGCTGAAGGAGCACCGTGGCACTTATACTATAAATGTGCGTGCAGGATCTTGGCTTATATATATATATATATATACATATATATATATTCATACAAAGTCAATAATTGGCAGCTGAATATTATGTAGACAATGGAAAAAAACAAACAGGACTCTTCAAAATGAATGGCTCATTTGTGAAGCAGAGTGTAATAAATAACCCAATTCTAAACAAATACTATTCTTTTCAGTCCATTTGTCTAAAAATGTTTTAACACTTTCTTGTGCATTTATGTTTTGAGTGCACTCGACTTTTATTATTTATGATAACTGTCATCTTGTTTTCATGAATAACTCTACAATTATTAATATTTGAGTCATGCTTACATTTTATATTATTTGTACTTATTTTCAAACTCCCTTTCAATTTAAATTTAAAACAAACCTTAAAAACATTAATATTATAATCTAAGGCAACAGTTTGGGTTGATTTTGGCTACGAAATTGACTTTTTTCCTTTCAATGATGTTTCAGTAGTGTTTCAATGTCAAATATTAAAGCTGTCATCAGTATCCTGGAAAAAATAAAAACAGTGTAATGCATCTTTTAGGTTTAAAGGGACACTGATTGCTGAAGGGGATTTCATTTTACAATGCATTATGTAGATAATGCACTAAACATGCAGGCTAAGTATTTCCTGCAAACCTCCAGGATGGAGATTTATAAATACAGTGATATTTACAAACATCTGTAATTATAAGCAAAAGGAAAGATGTAAGGAGAAAAAACTAAATTGACCATGACCGTAATGTGAGGACTGTAGATTGGTATGGCTTGTAGTGTGTCTTTGGTTACGATTTTGTATTGTAAGTTAGAGGTTATGGTCTTAGAGAGGAATTTAAAAAAAATGATCTATATTTCTGTAATTTAATGTGTAAATGCATTCCATTTTAGCTAATTTAAGCCAGTTGTTTTTTAAACAAAGAATCTTAGTTTACATTCATGATGTTTATGTTACAATTCTACTCTTACTCCAAGATGCAAAATACAAAAACATGTTTTACAGTCGTGGCATATTTAGGAAACTGCAGTTCCAAAAATAGCATAACTTTCCTTATGAATAACTATAAACATTTATCTATTTTTGTCACTTACTTTATGTGACAAATAAATATATTTATATTTCAATGCTAATATGTCAGATCCTCTGTGATATGATACCTACACTTTAACCTTATGCATACAAAATATTATCATCAAAACCCAACCAATATTGGTCGGTTTTCGTGTGGCATGCAGAAGGAGATAAACAGGGTGTTTAAAGGGAAAGAACCTGTTCCCTCACCAGGTATTACTCATAAAATGCAAATAATTTTTAGTCCAAAGATAATTGATAATACTGCATGCATGACAATAAACTGCTTAAGACATAAAGTGCTTTTACCAAAAACCCATGTAATAAAAAACAAGGTTTACTGACCTAGAGCCTGGAGACCAAAACATCCCCAACGTTTCAGTCCTTGACCTTTCTCAAGGAGATCCCCCTTGAGGAGAGAAACAGATAGGGGTGTATAAACACCACGTGTACATGCTGCTGTACTCTTTGGGCTGTTCGAGCCAAACACTCTACACAGTAGCGCTATTCCCCTCCTCAAGTAGTGCAGACAAAATGCTCCTCACGGCCACGTGACCTGAAAAGGGAAATAGCAAATTACTCTATACTTACCATTTGGCACTGGTGAACCGCACTTCATTCTGGTACGCAAAGGTCGCATAAAGCTCAGCCACTGCTTCCTTCCATTCACTTGGATAATGGTGTAGTTTGAAATTCGTGACATTACTACTGCTCTTAAAGTGACCATGTCATCTAGTCGAACCTATTATCAATAATTTTGGAATTGCAGATATTATTATTAGTAGTAGTATTTATATAGCGCCAGCTTATTCTGCAGCGCTTTACAATAAGAGGGGAATTTACCAAATGAGACAATAACAAAATGTCGCAGGAACAATAGTTAGTTGAGGACCCTGCTCAAACGAGCTTACAGTCTAGAGGAGGTGGGGTATAAAAACACAATAGGAAGGGTATTGAGGGAGACAACAAATAAACATGGTGGGAAAGCAGCAGAACTGGAGGTGAGAGTGGAGTGTGGCCCTAAAAGAGAGAGTAAGAGGAAGGTTTGAGAGATAGAAGTTACTCCTTCTTAAAAGGATTGAAGACTAGGGGAGAGTCTGACAGGGGTAGACAGGCTATTCCAAAGGAAAGGAGCGGCCCATGAGAAGTCTTGCAGGGGTGAATTTGCAGTAAGGGTGCGAGCAGCAGACAGGAGAAGGTCACCAATAGAGCAGAGAGACCGCAAGGGGGCATACCTATGAATCAGTGCAGAAATTTAAGAGGGGCTAGAGTTGGTTAGAGCTTTATAGGTAAAGGCTAGTACTTTAAATTGACACCTGTAGGGTACAGGAAGCCAGTGTAAGGATCGACAGAGGGGTGAGGTGTGAAAGGAGCAACAGGAGAGAAAGATCAGCCTGGCAGCAGCATTCATCACAGATTGTAGGGGGGCAGTGCGGCTTCTGAGGAGACCAATTAGGAGAGAGTTACAGTAATCCGTGCAAGAGATTACTAGAGCTTGAACAAGCTCCTTGCAGCATCTTGTGTAAGAAAGGGGCGCATTACCTGGATCATTCAGAACATGTATAAGCCTATATAATGTTAATTTGGTTTCCACATAAGGAGAGTGACAAATGGGGGTTTCCACGGGAGGAGAGATGCTGATGGGGTTGATAAAGGATGCAAGACTCAGATTGGGGGTTTGCACAGAAGGAGAGACACAGATTGCAGTTGTCAGAGGAGGAAAGACACAGATGGGGATTTGCTCTGAAGGAGAGACACAGGTGGAGTGATACCCAGGAAATGAGACAAAGATGGGGTTTTACAAAGGAGGAGAGACACAGATGCAGTTTACCAGAGAAGGAGAGAGAAAGATTGGGGTTTGCACAGGAGGGGAGACACAGATTGGGGTTGACAGAGAAGGCGAGAGAGACAAATGCGTGGATGATAAAGGAGGAGAAAGATGGTCACATTGCTCCACATACACCAGAGCTAAATCGCACATATACAGAAACAAAACTTTGATTACTCTAGCTAAAAAACTTCACATTAGCTAAAAAACATCACAAGCAGGCTAAACTTAATACCCTCCTGGCCAGTGATAGCAACATAAAACTGACTGCTGTGAAAAAGGCACATGTCAAACAAGTAAAAACCTAAACTCTCGACACCATGACAGACGAAACCCCCCCACCCCCCAGGGGATCCCAGACTCCATCCTTACTGCTGACCTTGAGAAATTCTTCAAAAACTATGTGCATGAACTTTTGTCTAAAATCAAAACTAATAGGTTTATAGAG